ATTTGAATTGGGATGACGTTTGGAATTAGAATTGTAATCGTAGCGGGACAATAGAGATTGAAATCAAACAAGTAAGAGTGCTATAGTTGGGCAAGACCAACTTTTAGACACTTTACTTCGCTTAATTAATAATACATCAATAATTTTACAGCATCTTTATGTTAATATTTAATTTTCACAAAAGCAGTCCTGTTCGAGGATACTCGAACGTCAACGTGGTCCAAATTTAACAAATTCAATTTACTTATCCAAGATTTTTTTATTTTCCAGTTGCCTTCTTCATAATAAACCACAAATTAATCTTTGTGTCGTAGAAAGGCTTGCCTTCGTGATAGCTTCCACATATGTTGCGGTCTAAAGAGTAGAGCCATTTGATCCAAATTATGTCAAAAGTTTGCCACTTGTAGATTGAGCAGAAAATGCATGGACAGACATCAGACGGAGATGCGGAAAGACTAATTTTGACCCTTTCAGAAAATGATTATGAATCGATCGGTATAATATTCAATTCCTTCTCGGTGTAACGACCATCCGCATAGCCTTAGTACACCCCATACCATAAGGGGTGTAGGATATAACAACGATTTGAAATTCGATTTGTATTCTTCTTTACTTCACGTTGGAACTTTAACTTTAATTGAGATAAATATTCCGGTTAGGTTACATGCAACTATCACATTCGATAAAAATAGTAACTCTAATTGAAATGGAAGTTTGATCAGAAGCTGGTATCATAATGCCGAGTTGAAATTGTTACCGTCCGTCTCACATATACCTTAAAAAAATTAAGATTTCTTTTTTAACTTTTAATAGTTATATGCAAAACATGGGTGGCTCTAGTGTTGGTATTCGTCTAGCAGTTTCTATTGTGTATGTGTATAGGAGAAATCAATCGGTAATATTATGCTTTTTTTCACAGTTAAAATTATTTCGAAATTTTAAAATATTTTCGAGTTAAACTCAAATCGGTTATAATAATTTCCTTAGATTATTGAATACATATGAATAGAAACACATTAAAACAACTTTAAGCGTTACAGTCAGACAAGGCCGACTTTCAAATGCCATGGCTTATAAAGTGCTAAAGCTGCTTATTCTTGACGAGAACTTCTATATGAGAGAGAGCCGAAAACGCGACCCAGGGTGATCCGAAACTAATTATTCTTCATTTATTTTCGTCATATATTAATAAAAATTAGACCTTGTTCCCATTCAAAGGCTTAAACGTTATGAGAACTCTTATACGGGGAGGTTTCCGAAAATTAAGTCTATGTTGGCCAAACTCCATATATCTACCTTAAATTATTATCTCATTACAAAGTACTAGCAATACTATTTGCATATTCAATATCTGCATTTATTAATCAATTTCTGATCTTTTTTTTCATTGATTTCTCATTTATCAATTTATAAACAACCATTTGGTTGCGTCCCGGTTTTTATCAATGCACAACAATTTGGTCGTGCCCCGATTTCTTTATTTGGTGTTTATTGGTGTATGGGTGATTCATAAGCTACGTTTGTGTATGTTTGTGTACGGCCGCACCTTTTGCTAGCAAATCTAAAATTTATATAGAAGAATATTTAATATATATTTGAATAGCATTTCATTGGTACTACTATTTTAAAACTATTTTACAACAAGCGATTGCTAATCATACAAAACAATCACAAGGCATAAGCCCAAACAAATAATAATGTTCAACAAGTTCGCATATCGTGTCCAACAAGTTCGTCGGCCAGTTGCAAGCAATAAGACATGCAAGTTAGTCATGATTAGACTCATAGGCATATTGTAAGCGTTTTCTGATTGCGCACATTTCGCGTGAGAAAAAACTATATGAAACAGAGTTTTTTGCGTCTTGCTCAGACAAAGAGAAAAGTGAAGGTATTCTCCCTTGTGTGGTCGGGTTAACAGTTGAGAGAGTGATTCCAATAATTGCCCGATCGTAAATAGAAGAATATCCGCATTTGTATCTTGGCATAAGTGTAAATAATCAAAATAGCATTGCCCGTCTTGCCTGTTTTGCCCATGTCCAGGTCGAGGCGGATTTTTGTTGTTATTACTATTAATTTTATTCTTATTATTATTATTGAGTCATCGCGGTTAATAAGAATTGAATGCAATAAAAGCGAAAGCTAGCATAACATGAAAAGAAAAATGCCTGATTAACTTAATCCAATTGAATACACTAAGCGGGTAATATTTTCATAAGTGAGAACTTTACATTTTGTAAGTTCACTTGTTTCGCCTTTGACCAATTATCAGTGTAGCCGAGCTTCGAAGTACACGCAGCGGTTTTAATGATCAAGCTCAGCGTCATGTATTTTATTGTTCTTTGGAAAATTACAAGTTTTCCATATCAATACCATTTTCAACTTTTAATTGTGTGCTTCTACCTAATAAAAATCAAATCTTATTCAGTTTATTTTGCATTTTTCCGAAAATTTTGTGGCAGATTTTTATAAAATAAATTCCACAGTTAACTGATTAAAGCAAACAATTTTCATTATTTTTTTTCCTTTCCTAACCTTCTTTTTTCTAATCTCTCTGACTCTTCTTTATTACTTCTTCCCTCTATGTTACTTCTTATCAAAAGTCGTTTGTAATCATTATTAAAATAAATTGATTACTTCACACATTGAAAAATACTCAAATAACAAACCGAAACGAAGCGGCATAGGAAGGCAAAACAAAATGGAACGAGAAAGTCTTACAAACGTAAAGAATTAATTATTACATTTTGTTAATAGCGCTGCGCTTCAATTAAGCACTAAAGCAATTAAAAGGTACCTTATCTAAATTGATGTTCTGCATTTTTGTACTTTATAAACAAAGTCATCTTACATACATACGTTAATGAACTGTGCCATTACACATTATTAAACTACTGAAAACGGTTGACAATGAGAACGAAGTTGAACTTATGCAGACGCAAGCGTTCGTGAACTAGCCACTCTGAGTTCTTTTTTGCAAAGTCTTCGGTCATTAGTGTTAAGTAGTGTCAGAATTTAAATTTCCTGAAGATGATTATTTTTGGAATGATGCATATGCCATAACCAACGATGATTAACAATATAACAATGAAATTGGTAATAAAATAAAACATGAGTTCGATGAAGTACGAAAGTATTGATTTTGAAGAGGATATTGTTCTTAAATCTCATGATCGGACTGATGCCAAACACATCTTCGGCAAAACAATGCTTCATTTAAGTAAATGCTGGCAAAAATGCCAACTAGAGGTTTTGCAAAGAAATCAATGTAGAACAATGTTGAGATGCCCTTTGCGCCGACCTTTGATTTGTAAACAATTTCATAAGTTTTCTTTTGAATTCGCTATGCCGACGTTTGTGCCGACCTTTGATTTCTGGATGAGCGTATTTTCATATTTTTATTGATTATCGTTACATTTTAGGGCTCAGTCGGCAAAATATAAAATAAATGAAATGGTCCAAGGATTGCTTACTTTTTTATCTAGAAAAAATTCCGCACAACACGAAAACCACAAATATATTATGGCTTTGCCAGCTTTAAATTTTAAGTCAAGGAAATAATGTAATATGAGTGAAAAAGTAACATGTCTGTTTAAATTGGCTTTACGCTATGGAATTTTTTCCAGTTTTTATCTGAGAGTTGATTGGAATTTCTTTACTTGACTGCTGGCATTGTTATTGTACAAAATTTTAGTTGCTCTGAGAGAAGAGTTATTAAGTCTAGAAACTGAGGCAGTGGGAGAGAGAATCATCATTTTTAACAACTGGTCTACATGACAGTACAATAATACGATTAATTTTTTAATCTCCTGTTATGTATTCTTTTCTACCATAAACTACTAAAGAAATTATTAATAGAAAATATATAAAAATTAAACTTATTGACTATGGAAACTCAGTTCCATTAAATGGAAAGAGTAACTGCGGAGCAAGTCTGCAGCTGGCAGCAATTCTATAAAATTGAAAAGTAAAAACATATTTTTTACTATCATTTCTTTGTTGCTTTGGTTGTTTATGCAGACGCAACGTAATAAAGTAATAATTCGCACATCGTTTTTTCTTTTTTAAATGCAGTGAATTAAGGTGACCAGATTTCACTTTATAAAAGTGGCTGAATTCAGACGCTTGCTCTCAGTTGTGGCCAAATTCTGACGCTTACTCTCAGATGTGACCAAATTATTTTTGAATTGCTCTCGTATGTGACCAAATTCATAACTGTTTGGGCAATCCAACAGACGGTTGTTTACAAATGCAGACTGACTTTTTTAACTATTCTTAATTGTAAACAAATACAGATCATGAAAATAGAAAAATTGCTTTCACGCAGGAATTGCGTATAAGAGTTAAGCTTGACTTGATAAAAGTTCTTTAGATGCGTACAGCAATCGTATTACTTTAGTTTTTGCAAGTATTGCGCGAATATTTGAACATTAAACGCCAAAAATTTTTATTTAATAGAAACATACGGCAAAAGCAAACCAAAAGTCGTAAAAAATTATTATTTTCATAAAATTTCATATTGAATACAGTTTGTACAACTGGATTCAACCAGAAAAACAATAAATTAATTTCGTCAGCAATAAGTTGTAATATAACCAATAAGTCAAAAAAAATCGAAAATTTAAGGATCTAAATCATCAAATAATTCAAACTATCCAAAAAATTTTAGTGAAAGACACATTTGAATATTATGGGCGGAGATGCCTCACTCCAAAGGTGTTCAACAAGCCAAAAAACCAAAAAAAATATTTTGACTAAATTGGATAGTTTAATTAAATAAAATGAGCCGAGGCGGTATAAATTAATATTTTTAAAGAAAAAAAAGAAATTTTAATTTTTACCTTTCCGAAATTAGAAATTTAAAATATGTATTAAAAGTAATTTTTTGCTTTTTTTTTTGGTATGTTGAACAGAGATGGACTAAGCCAATAGATTTGTGGCTTATATGTCCAAATTTTTTGCTTTGAATTGCTTTGAATCGCGCTCGTTGGAAAAATCAAATTTTATTTGTTTAAACATATGTTTACGAATCAGATGTTTCGGATGTTATAAACACAGATGTGTTTTGTATTTAGTGAAATGAAATGAACGAAATAAAAAGCCAAAACGAATGAGAGAAAAGTCATGAGCACAAAGGGAAACGTTTCATTAAAAGGTATTGTTGCTCCTCAGTCTCAGTTAAAATTTAATGATAAAAGCTAGAGTACGTTTTTGTCGCAAAAGCTTATGCGAAATTATATCAGTCACTTTTTTTTTCTTCAAAAGAAAAGACGTTTGGGTTGGAATTTATGATAATATCTTGCTGCAAAGTAATTAATAATGATATTAAAAACAAAAATATAGAAGAGGTGTCTGTTAACCAACAAACGAAACTGCAATAAAAAATTGTTCAACTTCTTCAAGGCTTTTTTTGCGAATTCGTGATGAAGCTGTAGAACGTACACAAGAACGGAAGAAAGTGAGAAAATCAGTTAAATAATAGTGCAAATCGTATAGAGACCCCTCTCCGCTAGCAAAATAATAATAGTGAGCAAGAGTGAAAAAAAGGGAAATTATTTGAAGCAAAAAAAAAAAAAAAAAATTAAAAAATATGATTTAAACAAATTTGAAGAAACTAACAACGAAACAACAACAAAAAGGGAAAGAAATTAAACAGTTGTGTGTGAAGGTTTTCCCAATCAAAAAACTTGGAAAGAGCCAAAAGTCAAACCAATAAGTTTCTTTAATACGACGCATAGTTGATGTAAGAAAAATTATTGATTTTCCAAAAAAGGACGTCTGTGGATCTATATATATTCATAAATAAATAAAAGAAAACAAAATTCAAAAAAAGAAAGAAATGAAATTAAGGCAATAAACTAATAAATTTTTTACATAGAGGCAGACAAAGACAATAACATACGGAACACATATTGAATGCTATTTTTATAGGACTTAAATTAAATAAAAAAGATTTTTTTTAGTTAGAGCGTGCGTGTTTGTATGTGTGCGTGTATGTATGTGTGTGTGTGTGTGTGTGCATGACACTGTTTGCAATTTGACACAAAATTGTAAATTGCAACCAACCAACGCCATTAGAGTGTGTTAGCTCGTTTAAAGGCATTTAAAGTCATTAAGAATATTAACGGGATTAAATTATTAAAATATTGGATACAACGAACTCGGAACAAAACATAAAAGAAGAGAGGCTAGAGAAAGAGAAGTAAACGCGTTCGTTAATCTCTTTTTGCAAACTGTATTTGTAACAATAAAAACCACAAATAATATAATAACAACAACAAGAAGACCTTAGCAGAGTGTTAAATAATCTCAAGCTCAGGTAAGTGTCAATGAAAGTTTAAAAAAAGAAAAAAACAATTTTTTTTTGTTATTTTCTTGTTATTTCTGTTTTGGTTTTTTGTTACTTTTTTTTTTCTTTCGGGTAAATAATCAATGAAAGGCGTTGCAGTAAAATGCAGCAAAACTTCTTAACTTACATATATCATCATGATTATTATGTTTAACCTACATGTAAAAAAAAGAGCACACACATCCTCTGTATACTTTGCACCACTACTCTATTGCTCTCCTTACTTACGCCCACCACCCTCTGTCTAAATACATATTTTGTGTCAATGCACCATTGCATTCTCTGTGTAGTTTAAGTAAACCCAATAGTCACACAGTCATGACGTATTAATTTGCTTGATGCTTTATAATATCAGCGCGTCATATATATATATATATATATGTATATATATTTATATATTTATATATATATATATCCTTGTATGTGTTTGTTTGTGTATACTATATGTTAAATGTTTTTTAATGAATTTTTTTTTGTTTTGCTTCTGTTATTAACGTTCATACGTGTTTATGATGGTTGAGTATTTGTCATATGTTTGTTTTTTTTTGTATTCACCTATAGACTTTTTTCAATTCACGTTTCATTACATTAAAATTTAACATTATTATTGTTTTTTTTTCTTCCAATTCATCCGTTAGTTTTCAACAAACTTCCTCTAAATTTGGCGTGGAGCCCAATTTGTGAGTTAGTCAGTCAGTAGCGAAACGTGTTCAACGCGTTTAACCTTAAATTATAATTTTTTTTTTTTTAACTTTAAGTTCCGTTGCATTAAAATTCGTGTTATGATATATTGTTTGCTAAATAAATGGTTGTGTCTCCGAGAGCGCGTATAAAGTGGAAATTTATCTGTTTATGTATGAAAGTGTTTTTATATGACAGTGCGTATGTGTGGGATTTTATTTTATTATATTGAACAGCTTCAGACTAGACTTTTGCAATTTTCTTCTCTGACGTAATATTTTTAATTTTTTTTTTTGCATCGAAACGAACGGTAGATAAGAAGTGCTTGGAAATGTGCGCTTATTTGAGCAGGCGTATAATGTTTTTTTTTCGCTTTTGTTTTTGTGAACAACAATTACTTTGTATGCAATTCAGGTTTCCTTGTTAACGTCATCATAGGTTGCTAGGTTGCAGGTGATATGAAAAAATTATTGTAAAAGAGCTTTGAATTAATTGTGTGTACGCCCCGTCACAGCTTACTTTGCTGTGTGAAGCTTAAGAGAATTATTGTTATGAAGAGATTGGATAAAGTCTTACGCTTTTAAAAGAAATGAATTACATTTTTATTTGCAAAAATAACAGTCAGGCGTTAAGATAATCTTGTTACGTAAACCATTTATGGAAAAAGTAGCGAGTAGCGGCTTTTCGTAACTCCAGAGGGAGTTGTTATTGATTAATAGTTAATCTTTTGAATTTACTTTGAATGGAATCGATGTTCTGTGCAGGACTTTGAACTTCAGTTTGGTGTAAGGCTAAGCAACGCAAACAAAAGAAAACAAATTGCGACTAACTTGCTAACTTCGTCGATGAGCTGAGTTGAAATATTAAAAAGAAATGGAAATGTCTTTGTTAGTTATAGGGTAGTTAACCGATCGATAATCTGATAAGTATGTATGCCAGTGTGACATCTACTCTAGGTGATTGGTTCTCCCTTTTTGAAGATTTCTTGCAGAATTTTTTAACAATTGCAGTTTCGGGCCGACTATACGTCTATTTTAAAGTCCAGTCTGCGACCATGTGCTTCATATAATTCGTGGATTTAAATTTCAGTGCAGTTGGTTTGACCAACAATGTTTGCATTTATAGTGAGTACTTGGGCACAAACCGAATAGAACAGGCCCACTCCTGCTACCTATCTGTTTCGCTCTTCTTATGTCTGACTGACCTTTACCATATTACCCACACAAGGGATGCAGTGAAATGTTTTTCTTTTGTCATTAATAGCATGCCTTTCCATGAGAGCAGTTGCAAAAATTTTTATGTCCTAAACCTAAACATTCTGCAAAGTATTTACACATACAATTTAACGAATTTTTTCTATAAAGCCCTCAATTAAACTTGGCTTTTATAAATATTTTTATACCCTGAACCGTTTGTTGTGCAAGGGCTTGTGCGATCGATTCAACATTGCGTTCCGAATCGATTTAAACTTTGTCTATTCCTCTTTCAGTTTTCTCATCTTCAATCTGCAGTGCGACATGTTAGAGATGTTTGCATTAAATTTAGTACACTGGCGTGTTTTGGCTCAAAAACGAAGGCTACTAAAATGATCCGAATCGGACAACTTTTTTGACCGCTTTCCATATAACGGCTTTGGTGGCTAATATCGCTTAGTAATAGTATCTCAGCATCATAAATTTGTGTGAAAACTTTGGGTCAGATGGGACCATTTTTTGATACCTTTGTCCTATAAACATCGTACGGAAAGCCAATTTTTATATAGTAAAAGGCCTTAATTTTCAATATTTGTAGATGACAACTATTTAATAATATTTAATTCATCTTACCAAATTTGGATCACGCAAGCCGTATTTTTCGGAGCCCATCTCAAATAAAGTTTCTACATAGGCAGTTTGGTTCATATAGTTCATCTTTTAGACCGCACTATATACCGCGGCTTTCATGAAGGCAACCTCAAAATATAATTTTTGGGTTGTTATGCGAAATAATAAAATCTTTGAGAAGTAAAATAAGTTGACGTTTGTGTACCCTTCAGCATGGTTTTTATGAAATTTTTACTTTGTTATGAAAAAAATGCATAACCTTTGATTTATTACCAAGAGAAAATGAGTAAGTGACGATATTGTATAAAGTATCTAACCGTCTAACTTGCCCGACTTTAGCATTTTCATTTGTTTTCGTAAGATTATTTATATTTTCCAAGAAAGCTTGGAAAATATTAACATTCGTGTCGGCGGTGAAAAGGCAAGAAGGAGGCTCTTGCAACCAAGTAAAATGTCAAAAAGAAGAAATTTACTCGATTATCACTCGATTTTGTCAGAAGGTTATTATGTATAGTCTATTAAGAACTTTCCAAAATGTTTTTGTAATCAAGCGACATATGTCGATAACATTTTCTTAAGCCAGCACACGCCGAATATGAAATATTATTACGCATAAACTGGCATAAATTGGCATTTCCATCATGAGACAAGCGGAAGTGGATCTTGAAATCAAAGAAAATATGAGGCGAAAAAAATTACATTTAAGTATATGTAACTGTTCAGGACATATGTTTGATAGGGTGTCTCTTAGAAAACTTAATTACACTTAAACAAAAATGTAATAATGCCTTAGACTATTTTTAGTAAAGCTGCATACAAGTCGTTGTTTCAAAACTAGCTTTGATTTGAACTAAACTATTATTGAATCCAAATCCTTATTTCTTCGAACGGTTTATATGATATCGTCCCAAGACAATGCGTGAACGTTCTATTTGCTAAGTCTAACCTTCTGGTTATTAATTTGTGTATTGCAAATTATAGAAAACGTTCACATGATGGCACACAAAGAGTCACTGAGTTCTCAAACCCAAAAGCCCAGTTTTCTTTTCACTCAGAGGACGTCATCTCACGTGTAGCAGGATCATGGACAGGGAGAAGTGGGCAAAGAGCGAAAGACAGCGTTAAGCATTGAGCTTTTTCCACGTAGTGTAAAACCAATTGCGGTCAAACCGCGCCGCTATTTGAACCCGTAAACACCGACTTAGTACTCACGACAGCCCTTAGTGACCTAAGTGAAGTTCTAATCAATTCAATTAAGTCAATAAAATCACTTTAGCACATACTGCTTGACAAAAGCAGGGCAAGATAATCTCTTAAAAAGCGTACATGTCGCCTTCACTTTACTAGAGAATAAAAGACTCACAGAAAAGATGTACTCAGGATTCTATATTCCTTCTTACCGATTAGTCACACACGCACCAGAGTTGCTGCGGCCACTCCCTAGTTAGCCCTTTGCAGCGTTCAGCCTATCGTAAGCACGGAGGACTCCCAACGAGTGATTGGTCATATTAAAAAAAAAAAGTCCAAAATGTATACACTATTCAATATTATACGGCCTAACATCCAAATTGTCGAAAGCTCGGTGTTCTAAAGCATGGTTTCCTGTGGAAGAACGTATAAAAATTCGTTCATATGCCGATATAGAAAAAATATTCTTACAATACTTAAGCTTTTTTATCCATGTAAATAATATTGCAAAATGTTGTTTTCAAAATCTTATACTGTATATTAAAACATGCTTTTTTACGGTTAGATGTAAAGTAATAATAAGTAAGTCTCCTTTCACCCTTCAACTCAAACAATAATTATTCAATCAATGTTAAAGCGTTTGCATGTTGAGTTTCAAAATAATCTCTAATCTGATAACGTTTTTCGTCATCGTAGCGGTATGTTCACTTTATCGTCGCGTTTGTAAAATTCGGGGGCACAGATGGTCCGATCATGTGTGTCAGTGCGTACGATTTAATGGATCTAACCAGTCAGAAATTGTCCGACTATACCCACCTAAGAAATATGTCCGTTCGTTCGCGTGTGTTTGCGCAGCTTATTGTCCGACTATTTATAGACATATCGATTCGTATTCGTCTGATAGTATGTCGCATACACGCAGGCATTTCGTCAGCTAGAGATTTCTATATGACTTACTTATATACCTGAGCATTTGTTTGTCCAGCCGTTTTTAGGGTTTTGTTTTCCAACATTTTTTGTCTTGGGTTTAGTCTTGTTCGTCCGTTTTGCTGAAAGGCGTGCCTCCTAACATTGATCGGTTTTGTCTATCCAACCGTTTACTTCCAAAAATTCGACATGCATGAATAATTCAAGCAACCATCAAGTGGGCTAATTAATGCTTTAAGAAAACATTCGTGTCTCTTAGACGTTGGCTCGTATGCAGTTTGTGCGTAAAATTAAGTGGATCCGATTTATTAATTTTTGTGTCTAGAAATAAAATAAAAGCGATTTCAAAGT